AGACACGGAGAAGACTGGTATTGCGAGATGGAACCATTTCGTTTTATCTGCTCACTCGCAAACTAACAACATAAATATGAATCACGTGACAGAAAAATCGAAGATTTGAAACTGGTCACAAAGCAAAATTATGTGGACGCTAGAATAACAAATCAACGAGCTTGATCTTAGGGTCATGAGCCCCAAGGAAGCTTCAGGGAGATTGTTAATTGCATTTGTACGCAAAAGATATGGCGATGCCGGTTAAGTGCCACCGCTTCGGCAAACCTCAATACTTTGGGTTTGTCATTTCGATAGATAACTGTAACGGTTGATGTAGGGTCAACCTGATGGCCTGATTCGAGTAGATGTCTGGCGATCGATGATGCCGGCAGCTTAGATACCTTTTCTCGTTCGGCTGCTGGTTGTGTCGATCTTTTAGCAATCCGTTTTGGGATATGCTCTCCAATGTGCTTACCCAAGGATCCATCTTTTCTGCAAATATAACTACTACCGCAGTTACAAACGAAGGTGGCTCCATAAAGATTTCTGTTCACAGAAAAGCTACATGTACCGTATTGTATGAACACTTCAACAGCTTCGCCCCTATACAATTCAAGCGGTGCTTAGTCAAGACGCTGTTTATTCGAGCCCGCAGCATATGCACTAACGATTGGTTGGAATCGGTATTGCTGCTTATCACACAGACGATACGGGACAACGGATATCCAGAGGCGTTTATTCGATTCCACAGTCAACTGATGGAAAACTGGCCGAGGGGACTTACTGTGCACAAACTGTCTGTCTGCCTTCAATTACCTTTCAAAGGTGATATCGTGCCCGCCCAACTTGGAAGACGTTTGCATACAGCGATTCGTCGGACATTCAATGTCGCCAAATTCTGCCACATTTAAGAGACCAGGAAGCTGCTTATGCCTCCAGTGAAGCCTACTCAACCGATCTCTGCACAACCCATTGCATTTACCAATTCGTTTGTAACTGCCGTAGTAGTTACATTGGCAGAACAGATCGATTCTTGGGTAAGCGCATTGCAGAGCATATCCCAAAACGGATTGCTAAAAGATAGACATAACCAGCAGCCGAACGAGAAAAGGTATCTAAGCTGTCGGCATCATCGACCGCCAGACATCTACTCGAAGCAGGTCATCAGGTTGACCCTACGTCAACCGTTACAGTTATCTATCGAAATGACAGCCCCAAAGTATTGAGGTTTGCCGAAGCGGTGACACTTAACCGGCATCGCCCTATCGTCTGCGTACAAAAGCAATTAACAATCTCCCTGAAGCTTCCTTGGGGCTCATGACTCTAAGATCAAGCTCGTTGATCTGTTATTCTTGCTTCTACATAATTTTGATTTATGACCAGTTTCAAATCTTCGATTTTTCTGTCACGTGATTCATATTTATGTTGTTAGTTTGCGAGTGAGTAGATAACACGAAATGGTTTCATCTCGCAATACCAGAATTCTCATTGTCTTATTCAGAATGATAAAGGGAACTCAGTACAGGATGAATTGAATCAAGCCCGGAAGCTTCATAATGGTTTATGCCTTGCAACAGCTCGAAGACATGAGTTAATTTTATGCTAATTTCAGCCGAACAGGAATACTCCGGAACTCTTGAATCCAATTCAAACTCTGGTAGAGTAGTCTGACGAGCGAAGGCCCTATTATGCTGTTCGCAAATAAACATCCTTACCATGATTGGTGTGCGCATGCGTCTCACCTGCTCACAGTAATATTGCTATAGACAGATTTTCACCGCTGCTTCTTTTCACCTAACCAAAGAGTTTCTTGGGATTAGCTACGGCCGAGTCAACTAAGCCCTGCTGGTATTGGAGACAAGCAGTCATGAGATGTTGCTTCACTTCATTTCGAACCTCCTAATAACTATAGTAGATGCTACTTGATGTAGCGGATTGGTAGGTTCACCAGTATCCAGCTTTTTCTTGATTAGCTAGTGCTTGTGGAGTCTATACATGGAGGCTGTACTCGTAACCCACATTTCCTCATGTGTGGAATGTAGGGAAAAGAAACCACCGTAAGCTGTGCTTTAAACTTATCCCAGGCTAACTGGACACAGTCGGCCATAAAGAGCTCACAATTCAGAACTGAAGCCTTACATCGCATCGCCCGTCTGCCCGCTAAATATTCGGAAGTAATAAAACAGCCGTCCGTCGTTCTCTTGAAAGTGCACAAAGCAAGGAAATGCGTACCTGATCGTTGCCACCTAAAGGTGTGCCGGCCGAGATGTCATAAACGAAGTGAAGGGGCTTGGTGGAAATAAGATCTAAAGTAGATGACAATTGGGTATCCATATACCTAGTGGGAAAGTCCAATAAGTGGTCAAGCGACATTTGGAGGATCAACTCGAAACATTGCACAAATATTTCTGACGCCAAACTATACGAAGGGTCAGCCCAACAGACTTGGGGAAGTTGAAATTCCTTAGAATTAAACATCTGTTCGCAGACTGAGTTCGATTAAGTCAAAACCCACCTTGAAAGTATTTCCAGGATTCAAATAGAAATTGGGTGTTGCCCGCTACAAAACACCACTACTATGACGCGCTTCGATGTTATTACATCCCATCAGATAGAGTTAGTAGACAACAAATCCGGGACCA